ATGTTTTATATCTTGCCAATAAAAGATATCTGACAAGAATGCTAAAGGTGCCTTATTGTAGTTTTTACGGTTCCAGCATAATGCAAATGTTCAAATTCTAAAAATGGTTTCAACATATTCGTCGAAAGAACCGGAACGAAAAAGAACTGCATATACATCCAAAGTTGCCGGAATTACATTGTCGAGAAGGTCAATTAACATTCTATATTCTACGTCTTTACACGTAGAGTTAAATTTTTCTAATACTTTTACTTTTATTTTTAACCATCCCTGGTAGGAAAGTTCAAGTAAGAGATTTATTCTCCATGGTTTAGGCTTTTGTGCAAGAATCTTGTCTCTTTCAAAAACTGTGCAGAATAATTTGTCAAAAAAAGGATAGTAAATTATTAGAACTTGTTCTCGACTATTTAGTGATACATGCAAAGGGCCTAGCATAGGTACAAAGGCATTAACATCTGCAGGTATCTGTGATTTTTTATTTTGTAAATATAAGTATGTTAATGCTTTTCGTATGAAAAGTTGCCCAGGCCAGTCGGCAACGATTGGAATTACACAATTGGTGCGTCCAATATCCCGATTTATAGAAAGAATCATTTCTAGTGCATTTAGATAGTCATCTAAAGAATGAAGGTTGCTCTCTTTAATTCCAACTAATCTTACTCCTTTTGTACTTCTTTCTTTTTGCAGATTTTTAATAGCATCATCATAGCAATGAACAGAAAGAAGGTCGATTTTATCAAAATTAAGTAACTCTGTTTTTTGTGAAGCAACCCACTGATTCTTCTTTTGTGAATACGAAAGATCAAAGATTCCGTGATAATTCGTGATTAAATTTAGACAAATTAACGGCACATCTACATTTTTAGGGTTATGAACTAAACCACTGTTATAATTAATTGGAATAGGAGCGCACTTAGAAATTTCCTTGCTGATACAAGTTGCAAAATGGATTGGTGCTGAGAGCGATACAGTATCGGGACGTCTTATTTTATGTATGTTATGATAGTCATCAATATTGTATACGAAAAAGCTGTTACTCTATTAAAAAAATCAACTAATTCTAATTAACAATTTATGAAGTCGTTATTTGAAACACAAACCCATTCAAACCAGTGTTTGTTTTTGGACTAATTGGACTACGACTAAGGTTAAATAGATGTAAAAGAATATTATTACCTTTTCAGTAAAATATTCCCGAATATTTCTTGGATGCTCATTTGCGATCTTTTTCCTATAGTTTTCTACAGTCTTATAACAGACTGTAATACCAGCATTATGCATGGTATTAATTGCATCACATGACGCACCAGACACTGCAAGATACAAACCAACCTCTAGAGGATAATTGTTAACAAATTTATTACGAATTGCTGCCATTGAATAGCATATATTAACTACTTTTTTTTTATTCTCTTTCTTATTATAAGCAGATCGTCTATTCGGAATCAATGCTTCATATAGTTCATTAAAGAATCCTCTTAATAATGGTTCAGAATTCTCGAGCATTAATTGAAAATTATCTGGGTTCAACTCAAGTACTTGACTTTCTTTTCTTTGTTTTTCGTAGAGGACTTTAGTCATTAAAGCTATTTTATCGC